CAAGTTCTCGCAATAAATCACGGGAAGATAAAAAAAATACGAATCATGGTGGATGCAACATTGTCCAAGAAGATACTGCAATCGTTGCACCTTTCTGTGAGACTTGTGAGCCCCTTCCACAACTTGAAAAATAGAAAATTCCAAGTTTTTATTAGTACCCCTTCTGGAATTGATGATAGTAGTATTCAGTTGTTGCATTCGGTTGCTTGCTTGTGTGAACCAAGTAGTGTTATAAGTACGAGAAATAGCAGTCTTGGTGGCAGTGGAAATTTGAGTGATATGTACATTGATCCATTGACAAGAATGGTTACATTTCAAAGTACAATTTCACCGAAAGAAGTGACACAATCTGATGATGGTAAATCACTTTTTATTAAAGTGGGAAATTATGGAAAGAATCCAGGAAGAACACAATTCAAATTCTTGGCTCTCATATTTGAAATCCAGTATCAGAATCAATACTATCAAGCTTACATCACCATTAAAACTCAAAGAGGAAGTGGTGTTGAGCAAAGAGGTTGTACAACCAAAGAATCCTGTTTCATTTCAGATGCTGTTCAAAATGAGGAGGATGAATTCATTCAGGCTTTTTTAAGGTTTAACTCTTTAGGCTCTTCTTTAAGTAATTGTTCAAGTCCAACCAACAGGAGGAGAACACCAAACAGCAAGCCAAACTTTGGAAGTGTCTTTGCAGAGCAAAAATTTGTAAATTTCATGGAAGGCACAACAGATTCTCTTGACAGACTTACTCCTGATATTATTGCTGTTGGACAATCTGACAACTATGATGATGAAATTGATTATCAAAATTCACTTACTGATTTTTACAATACCATCACATTCACAAAAATCCATTTTGAAAATGGACCAAAACAGGGTGGACAACCAAATACTCTTTATTTATCATTCAAAGACAGCTCAAAAACTGGATTGTATGAAATGATAAAACACCATTCAATGCAAAGTATCAGTATGTGGTTTGTACCAAAGCATCACCCAGAAGTTCAGGTAGGTCTTCCACAAATACTTCACATCAGTGAAATTGGAAATTATGCAGCCCTCCATTTTATAACTTCTCCAGTTCTTACACATTTTGAGGGTGATTTGGATTCTTGTGTTTTCTTGGTTATTGATAATGAAATAATTGATGGACTAGTTGACTATACATTTGTAGACACTTCCAATACTCAATCAAATAATCTTCAATTCATAACTTATTATCATCCAGAAGAGAATCTGCAAAGCAATAGATTCATTCAGTACACTGCCCAACAATCATGTGCTCAAGAATCGATCGAATTTGTAAATAATTATATTCCAGAAATTAGCCTTTTGAATAATACATGTAAAACTAGGAATATTGGGAGCAAAAAAGATCGCAAGGCATTTGCTGGTAACACTTGAAGCAATTTTCTTACAAAACTCTAATGTACAGATATCTGACTCTGTTGATTTGAACACAAGCATCAACTTATGTCTTACTAAGAAGATCTAGAAATTCTCTACTATATAAAAAAGTAGCCTAGAACAGATTGTTTGTGCCCTTCCTCTTATGCTAACATCAACAGTCAAGTTCTCGCAATAAATCACGGGAAGATAAAAAAAATACGAATCATGGTGGATGCAACATTGTCCAAGAAGATACTGCAATCGTTGCACCTTTCTGTGAGAC